TCAATCACAAAGTTCACACAAGTTCACACAAGAGAATTGGAGTAGCACTAAACCAGGTGGAAGGGATGAGGAGGACGAGAGGGAACGTCCCAAGGAGTCCCCAACCAAAGGAAACTCCATGCCACACAATTCCCTTCCCCATAGGCAACCCAACTTTGACCTTTGTCACTATCCCAACCTCCACAATCCACCTCAACCCAACTTGGCCACACTTGCCAACCTGGTTTGGTTTCTCCCAACCATTTGGCAGCAACTACAGTAGAAAAGACGAATTTCCCAACCCCCAAAAGTCTGTACCCCATATTGAGTCAACCCCACAACTTCCCATAGTCACCACAACCAAATATCAAAAGCATACGAACTCCAACGTTCGTAACTTTCTTGTTCGTGCTCCGATTGAAGCGATACTTGGTTCCTCGGAAAGCTCTTGAGCAGAGGAGTCACTTCAGATACCTGCTCAAGCCAAATAACATTCACACACACACTCAGAAAAACCAAACCGCACAAAACACAAATTCTTGCACACACTCACAACACGCATGCAACGCACGAACATATGATGGGAGGCAGACAGACGTGAATGCGAATGGTAGCATCACTCAACAGCCCGGACTTGCTCACCGAACTCGAGCCGTCACCGGTGAAGCATGTCACATCGGCTTTGGGGCAGCGAGCAGAGGTGAAAGGCATGGGGAAGGCCATGTTCAAGGGTGCTGATGGGAAGATGGTGGGCCTCAAGAACGTGCTTTGGGTGCCCAGCCTTGCTGCAAACCTGATTTCCGTGCGGCGGTTGGCAAAGGCCGGCATGGACACGAACTCGAAGGGAGCCAAGACCTACACCGCAAGGCTTGGCGATCGAATTCTTTGGGACCTTCATGAGGACAGGGATGTCTACAACGAGATGTGGCAGATCCCAGTGGTCCCTATGCCTAAGGAGAGGCAAGTGGCAGCAAGCATCAGCACCAAGGGTGGAGTGGTCGGTAGCGACGATGGTGCGAACGGTCGCGCTAAGGAGAATGAGCTCAAGAAGAGCAAACCTGGAGGGACCAGCAAGTTCAGTGAACCTAAGGAGAGTGGTGCAGCAACCAAGGAGCAGCAAAAGGGTGAGGAGAACCCCGAGGCAGCAGCGGAGGAGGACTACGGAGAGAGTATGTGGGGCGCTATTGCGAGCGCGGCATTCTCCAATCCAACTTCGGGTACGGGGGAGTGTGATTGGCTCACCTTGCATCGGCGCATGGGGCATGTGGCCCTGCCCATCTTGCAGCAGCTAGTGAAGAATGAGATGGTTGCTGGCATACGTGTGAAGGGGGAGCCCGATGAGGTGCTTGGCTGCCCGACGTGCATTCAAGCCAAGTTCACCCGGTTTCCGTTCCCTAGTTCGGAGGCAACGGCAAAGGCACCACTTGATGAGGTGGTGATGGACGTGGTGGGCCCCCTGAAGCTTGGAGCTGCTGGAGCTGAGTATTTTCTCACCATTGTCGACGTCTACACCCGCATGACTTGGGTGTATGTGCTGGCCAAGAAGAGCGACGTGGCTGAAACGTTGAAGACGGATTGGTTCCCGATGGTGGAGCGGCAACAAGACCGTCTAGTCAAGTCAATCCGCACCGATCGAGGGGGAGAGTTCCTGAGCAAGGAGTTTGGGTTGTGGCTGAAGAAGAATGGTATTCGGCACTCCCTCACCATGCCATACTCCCCTGCAATGAACGGCATCGCCGAGCGAGCGAACCGCACAATCACGGAGGCGGCACGCGGGTTGCTCATTGAAGCCGGGCTACCCGACTATTTCTGGCCTGATGCGGTGCGAAGCGCGTGTGTGGCCAAGAACAGAGTTTTGACTCATGTGGGAGCAGACAAATGGGTGCCCTATGTGGAGTGGCTAGGAAGGAAGCCAAAGGTGGATATGCTTCGGGTGTTCGGGTGCATGTGCATGGCGCTCGTGCCTAAGCATCTTCGGCACAACAAGCTTGGTGCCAAGGCGGTGTGGGCCGTGCACTTGGGCATGGCTCAAAACAGCAAGGGATGGCTTCTTTGGGACCCATTCACCAAGAAGTTCTTGGTGAGCAGGGACTGCAAGTTCATGGAGAACTTCATGTACAAGGATTGGAAGGCGGAGAATGAGGCGAAGATAGGCGTGCGGTTTGGGGAGGTGAAGAGTTCCGGTTTGGAGCATGTGGAGCTGCCTTTGGAGCTGAGCAGCGGCAGCACAACCACAAGGCAATCCTCCCTTGTGAATGGGGGAGAGGAGGACAATGATGCAGAGGAAGAAGAGGAGGAGGTGCAGCAAGTGAGCGAGCGTGCACCGTCACTCCCTTCCCGTACTACGAGTGCTCCACGGATTCGAGCCACACCGCAGCAACGCCAAGGCCTTCAAGTCCCTGCAGCTGAGGAGGAAGGAAGGGGGAAGAGGAGAGTTCAACCCCCTAATAGGCTGACCTATGATGCGCCGGGAAAGCAGGGCAAGACAGCCCTGGCCGGAGCGGCAATGATTGTCGGAGACGACGAGGAGAGTGACTACGAGGAGTGTGCCTTCGCGTTCTTCTCTCCGGTGGAGATGCCGGGAGAACCAGCAACTCTCAAGGAGGCTTTGGAGAGTAGTGATGCTGAGGAGTGGAAGAAGGCCATGGAGAGTGAGCTGAAGAGCATCGAGGAGAATGACACGTTTGAATTGGTGGAGCTACCGGAGGGGCGTACGGCGATAACGTCCAAGTGGCTCTTCAAAATCAAGTCGGATGCCGACGGCAAGATCGAGCGCTACAAGTCTAGGCTTGTAGCCAAGGGGTACCAGCAGAAGGAGAAGGTGGACTTCAAGGAGCTGTTTGCCCCTGTGGTGAAGCCGACGACGCTGCGAACCCTATTCGCAGGAGCCGCCATCAAAGGATGGGTAGTAAAGCAAATGGACATCGTAACGGCATTCCTTAACGGCATCCTTGAGGAGGAGATTTTTATGGCGCAGCCAGAGGGGTTTGATGATGGTAGTGGCAGAGTGTGGAAGCTAAAGAAGGCCCTCTATGGGCTGAAGCAGGCCCCTAGGCAATGGTACATGAAGCTGCGCGAAGTGTTGGAGGGGATCGGCTTCACTCCCTCAACGGCCGATCACTCCTTGTTCATGCTTGGCGAGGGGGAGCAGAGGAGCTTCATGGTGGTGTACGTGGACGACATCCTGATCTTCTCACCCTCTCCTGACCTTGTGAAGGAGGTGATGCTGAAGCTGCAAGACAAGTTCAAGTGCAAGTCCCTTGGTGACGTGAACTTCTACCTTGGGCTCCACATCGAACGAGACGTGGAGAAGCGGAGCATACGAGTGCACCAACGGAAGTACCTGGAGGCGTTGGCTGCCAACTTCGGCCAGAGTGAAGGTCATGTGGCTACTCCCTTTCCCTCTGGGTTCAAGTGTGTGAAGGGGCCAGAGGAGGAGAGCGTTGGAGAAGAGGAGAGGCGCCGATTTCACTCGTTGGTGGGCAGCCTCATGTATGCGGCGGTAAACACCCGACCGGACGTCGCGTTTGCTACCGGGCAGCTGGCTAGGGTTGTGCAATGCCCTAATGAGGAGCAGGTAGCAGCTGGAATGAGGGTGGCCAAGTATCTTGGCCATACACCGACCGTTGGGCTGCAATACTCGGCGGTGGCACAAAGGCGCCAAAAGGGCGCGGATGGTGTTGAACCCGGGCGTTTGTTCCTCACCGCCTACTCGGATGCTTCATATGCATCAGAACCAGAGGACATGACAAGTGTGGGAGGCTTCATATGCTGTGTTGGTGGAGGCCCAACTGCTTGGGAGAGCAAGAAGCAGGTTGACCAAGCTTTGAGCTCGGTGGAATCCGAGTACATGGCACTCTTCCGTGCCGTAAGGGAGATTGTGTGGCAGCGGCGTTTGTTGGCTGAATTGGGGGAGGAGCAGCAAGGACCTACCCCACTATATTGTGACAGCCAGGGTGCCATTGCTCTTTCTAAGAACCCTGTGTTGCATGGACTCACGAAGCACATGAGGGTGAAGTGGCATTGGACGAGGAGCATGGTAACCGCGGGTGAAGTTGAGTTGCGCTACGTGAAGACCACGGGGCAGCCGGCTGACATGATGACCAAAAGGCTGGTGGAGCAGCAGCATTGGAAGTGTTGCAAGCTGGCTGGGATGGCTCTGAACTGAGAGAGCAACATATCCTAAGGCCAACAATCCGAGGGGGAGTTTGTTGGTGCAACCCTACGGTTTGCACTCGGCTTGTTGTCCGTGTGCGTGCATGTGTGTGTGTATGGAATGGTATGAGGGCATGGGATAATATATATTTCATGCTTATAATTGTGTGTGAATGTTGAGTCATGATGTCGAGTGTGTGTGTCGAGTCAATAGCGAGTTATCGCTAGACGCGTGTTACGCGGTCGTTTGTGTCTCGCGCGCGGTTTCTATTTTGTCGTGCGCGGTTTCTATTTTGTCCTGTGTCGAACGTTCGGTGTGTCGCAGGTGTGTGCAGCAGACCCATCGAGAACTCAAGGATGAGTTTGTGATGAAGAGCCCGAGCCTTGGTGTCAAGCCTCAAGTGATTTCGAAGCTCGCCAAAAGGGTACACCTCAAGATATTGAAGATAGTTACATTACTTTGTGTAGTGTAACATTTCACTTGGTGTAGGCCCTAGTGAAGGATAGTTTCGAGACCCTTCGTGGTTGGGGACAGTGTGGCACTGTTCCACATCACTGTACCTCGGCTCTTGGGGTTTGTAGGAGCTGGGAGTCATTCCCAACTCGTAACCCTTGCTAACTCTTCCTATCTTGTGTTCTAAGACTATAGTGGCTGCCATAGTGCCGTTCGTTCAAACCAGCGCTGTGTCGTCAATACTTGGTCGAATCGTGCGATCTAAATTGCCTATTGTAGGCGACATTAAGACGCGCCAGATCCAAGTTGAATCAGGTCATTTGAAGCCGTGACCAGAACGCTATGAACGTTTGAAGCCGCTGTGCAGAAATCCGGCTGTGCACTCTATCTTTCGTTTTAGGCACATTGGAGCCTACTGTGACTATAACAGGAATAGTGTCGACAGCACACATGGCATGAAGGAATAGTGTCGACAGCACACATGGCATGAAGGAATAGTGTCGACAGCACACATGGCATGAAGGAATAGTGTCGACAGCACACATGGCATGAAGGAATAGTGTCGACAGCACACATGGCATGAAGGAATAGTGTCGACAGCACACATGGCATGAAGGAATAGTGACGACAGCACACATGGCATGAAGGAATAGTGTCGACAGCACACATGGCATGAAGGAATAGTGTCGACAGCACACATGGCATGAAGGAATAGTGTCGACAGCACACATGGCATGAAGGAATAGTGTCGACAGCACACATGGCATGAAGGAATAGTGTCGACAGCACACATGGCATGAAGGAATAGTGTCGACAGCACACATGGCATGAAGGAATAGTGTCGACAGCACACATGGCATGAAGGAATAGTGTCGACAGCACACATGGCATGAAGGAATAGTGTCGACAGCACACATGGCATGAAGGAATAGTGTCGACAGCACACATGGCATGAAGGAATAGTGTCGACAGCACACATGGCATGAAGGAATAGTGTCGACAGCACACATGGCATGAAGGAATAGTGTCGACAGCACACATGGCATGAAGGAATAGTGTCGACAGCACACATGGCATGAAGGAATAGTGTCGACAGCACACATGGCATGAAGGAATAGTGTCGACAGCACACATGGCATGAAGGAATAGTGTCGACAGCACACATGGCATGAAGGAATAGTGTCGACAGCACACATGGCATGAAGGAATAGTGTCGACAGCACACATGGCATGAAGGAATAGTGTCGACAGCACACATGGCATGAAGGAATAGTGTCGACAGCACACATGGCATGAAGGAATAGTGTCGACAGCACACATGCCATGAAGGAATAGTGTCGACAGCACACATGGCATGAAGGAATAGTGTCGACAGCACACATGGCATGAAGGAATAGTGTCGACAGCACACATGGCATGAAGGAATAGTGTCGACAGCACACATGGCATGAAGGAATAGTGTCGACAGCACACATGGCATGAAGGAATAGTGTCGACAGCACACATGGCATGAAGGAATAGTGTCGACAGCACACATGGCATGAAGGAATAGTGTCGACAGCACACATGGCATGAAGGAATAGTGTCGACAGCACACATGGCATGAAGGAATAGTGTCGACAGCACACATGGCATGAAGGAATAGTGTCGACAGCACACATGGCATGAAGGAATAGTGTCGACAGCACACATGGCATGAAGGAATAGTGTCGACAGCACACATGGCATGAAGGAATAGTGTCGACAGCACACATGGCATGAAGGAATAGTGTCGACAGCACACATGGCATGAAGGAATAGTGTCGACAGCACACATGGCATGAAGGAATAGTGTCGACAGCACACATGGCATGAAGGAATAGTGTCGACAGCACACATGGCATGAAGGAATAGTGTCGACAGCACACATGGCATGAAGGAATAGTGTCGACAGCACACATGGCATGAAGGAATAGTGTCGACAGCACACATGGCATGAAGGAATAGTGTCGACAGCACACATGGCATGAAGGAATAGTGTCGACAGCACACATGGCATGAAGGAATAGTGTCGACAGCACACATGGCATGAAGGAATAGTGTCGACAGCACACATGGCATGAAGGAATAGTGTCGACAGCACACATGGCATGAAGGAATAGTGTCGACAGCACACATGGCATGAAGGAATAGTGTCGACAGCACACATGGCATGAAGGAATAGTGTCGACAGCACACATGGCATGAAGGAATAGTGTCGACAGCACACATGGCATGAGGAATAGTGTCGACAGCACACATGGCATGAAGGAATAGTGTCGACAGCACACATGGCATGAAGGAATAGTGTCGACAGCACACATGGCATGAAGGAATAGTGTCGACAGCACACATGGCATGAAGGAATAGTGTCGACAGCACACATGGCATGAAGGAATAGTGTCGACAGCACACATGGCATGAAGGAATAGTGTCGACAGCACACATGGCATGAAGGAATAGTGTCGACAGCACACATGGCATGAAGGAATAGTGTCGACAGCACACATGGCATGAAGGAATAGTGTCGACAGCACACATGGCATGAAGGAATAGTGTCGACAGCACACATGGCATGAAGGAATAGTGTCGACAGCACACATGGCATGAAGGAATAGTGTCGACAGCACACATGGCATGAAGGAATAGTGTCGACAGCACACATGGCATGAAGGAATAGTGTCGACAGCACACATGGCATGAAGGAATAGTGTCGACAGCACACATGGCATGAAGGAATAGTGTCGACAGCACACATGGCATGAAGGAATAGTGTCGACAGCACACATGGCATGAAGGAATAGTGTCGACAGCACACATGGCATGAAGGAATAGTGTCGACAGCACACATGGCATGAAGGAATAGTGTCGACAGCACACATGGCATGAAGGAATAGTGTCGACAGCACACATGGCATGAAGGAATAGTGTCGACAGCACACATGGCATGAAGGAATAGTGTCGACAGCACACATGGCATGAAGGAATAGTGTCGACAGCACACATGGCATGAAGGAATAGTGTCGACAGCACACATGGCATGAAGGAATAGTGTCGACAGCACACATGGCATGAAGGAATAGTGTCGACAGCACACATGGCATGAAGGAATAGTGTCGACAGCACACATGGCATGAAGGAATAGTGTCGACAGCACACATGGCATGAAGGAATAGTGTCGACAGCACACATGGCATGAAGGAATAGTGTCGACAGCACACATGGCATGAAGGAATAGTGTCGACAGCACACATGGCATGAAGGAATAGTGTCGACAGCACACATGGCATGAAGGAATAGTGTCGACAGCACACATGGCATGAAGGAATAGTGTCGACAGCACACATGGCATGAAGGAATAGTGTCGACAGCACACATGGCATGAAGGAATAGTGTCGACAGCACACATGGCATGAAGGAATAGTGTCGACAGCACACATGGCATGAAGGAATAGTGTCGACAGCACACATGGCATGAAGGAATAGTGTCGACAGCACACATGGCATGAAGGAATAGTGTCGACAGCACACATGGCATGAAGGAATAGTGTCGACAGCACACATGGCATGAAGGAATAGTGTCGACAGCACACATGGCATGAAGGAATAGTGTCGACAGCACACATGGCATGAAGGAATAGTGTCGACAGCACACATGGCATGAAGGAATAGTGTCGACAGCACACATGGCATGAAGGAATAGTGTCGACAGCACACATGGCATGAAGGAATAGTGTCGACAGCACACATGGCATGAAGGAATAGTGTCGACAGCACACATGGCATGAAGGAATAGTGTCGACAGCACACATGGCATGAAGGAATAGTGTCGACAGCACACATGGCATGAAGGAATAGTGTCGACAGCACACATGGCATGAAGGAATAGTGTCGACAGCACACATGGCATGAAGGAATAGTGTCGACAGCACACATGGCATGAAGGAATAGTGTCGACAGCACACATGGCATGAAGGAATAGTGTCGACAGCACACATGGCATGAAGGAATAGTGTCGACAGCACACATGGCATGAAGGAATAGTGTCGACAGCACACATGGCATGAAGGAATAGTGTCGACAGCACACATGGCATGAAGGAATAGTGTCGACAGCACACATGGCATGAAGGAATAGTGTCGACAGCACACATGGCATGAAGGAATAGTGTCGACAGCACACATGGCATGAAGGAATAGTGTCGACAGCACACATGGCATGAAGGAATAGTGTCGACAGCACACATGGCATGAAGGAATAGTGTCGACAGCACACATGGCATGAAGGAATAGTGTCGACAGCACACATGGCATGAAGGAATAGTGTCGACAGCACACATGGCATGAAGGAATAGTGTCGACAGCACACATGGCATGAAGGAATAGTGTCGACAGCACACATGGCATGACTTTCCTTCTTGCTCTGTGGGATGCACAACTTTGGGACGCCTCATGAGGTCACTTTTGAGTCGGTTCAGGAATAGTGTCGACAGCACACATGGCATGTCTTTCCTTCTTGCTCTGTGGGATGCACAATTTTAGGACGCCTCGTGATTCTCTTTACTATCTCTTCCATGCCTTTCTTGCAGCACTTCCTCCCCCCCACAGACTCCCACTTTCGCCCGGACCAGAGGGCCCTGGAGGAGGGGGACGAAGCGACTCAGAACAAACTTATTGCGGTATCACATGGTGCTGCACATGTCTCAAAGCTGCCTACCCATTATTGTTTCCGCTCCTTGCTTGCAGCCCTTCCTTCCCCCCACGGACTCCCGCTTTCGCCCGGACCAGAGGGCCCTGGAGGAGGGGGACGAAGCACGGGCGAACGAGGAGAAACGGCGGCTGGAGGGGAAGCAACGCAAGGTAGGAGAACGGGTCAAGAGGCTGGGGGGAAATGCGGTTCAAATGGACATGGAGGAGTGGGAAAAAGTGTGTTACAATAGTGTGAATCAGGTTTGACTCTAACAGGTGCTGCTGGCATATTTTTTACAATGTCTGCATAAGTGCGCTTTTGTGGAGCTTTAGTGTGCGTTAGCAATTAATCCTAACAGAGAGTCGACAGGAAATTCTAGTAAACTCGCCTCCTCTGCATTGTTGTCGTGGCAGGCGCGGCAGGTGCAGGCGTCAGGTTGGGAGCCCAGGTGGTTTCAACAGGGGGCACCTGGCGGCACCTGGACGTACAAGGGAGGGTACTGGGAGAGGCGGTCAACCAGGGATTGGGGGGATATTCCTGACATCTTTGCTGCTGATGAGAGCAGCAGTGCTGGTGCCAGTGGTGCCAGTGATGCTGCTCCCAAAACTACTACCACTCTTGAGACGACTTAAAGGGCATGCGGCCAGGGACTGGCAGGGTGTCCCGGACATATTTGCTGCTGATGATGGCGGCAGTGCTGGTGCCAGTGGTGCCAGTGATGCTGCTCCCGTTGCTACTCCCACTTCTAGTGGTGCTCCTCCCGCTGCTCCTGCTGCTGCTACTACTCCTGCTCCTGCTAATCCTCCTCGTCCTGATGCTGCTGGTGCTGCTGCTCTGGTTGCCAGACCCGATGCTGCTGCTAGTGCTGGCTGACATGCTGCAGTTGCTCTTGCTAGCATTGCTGGCGGCTGCATTGTCACCAGTGCTGGTACGTGTAGGTGAGGCAGGCGGCCAGGGCCTGGCATGGCATCCCTGATACCAGCACTGATACCCTACTGATGACAGTGCACTGCTGGTACTAGGTTGCCAGTGGTGGTGCTAGTGGTGGTGCTAGTATTTTTTGCTGCTGGTGCTGCTACTTCTGCCCCTCCTGCTCCTCCTCCTGCCCCTCCTGATCCTCCTCCTGCTCCTCCTCCTGCCCCTCCTGCTCCTCCTGCTTCTCCTCCCACTTCCCCACCTGCTCCTCCTCCTGCTGCTGTTGCTGCTGCTGCGGATCTGGTTGCCAGATTGAACAGTGATGGTTGGTGTCCTGCAGTGATGGCTGGTGTCCTGCAGTGATGGCTGGTGTCCTGCAGTGATGGCTGGTGTCCAGCAGTGATGCTCCCCTACTGATGCTGCTGCTGCTGCTCCTCCTGCCCCCCTTGCTCCTCCTCCTGCTGCTGTTGCTGCTGTTGCGGATCCAGTGCCATCTCCACTAATGCTGGCTGATATCCTGCAGTTGCTCCTGCTCGCATAACTGGCAGTTGCGCTGGCGGCACCAGTGATGGTGAAAAAGCTGCATCTGTGTCGTAGCATTTCATCTGGTAATATGCTGGTGCTAGTTCTGTGACTCTGCAGAAAGGGGAATTTAGTGGTTACTGTTACAGTTGTTTTGGGCGGGTGCTAATCTGCTGTGTATTTAGTGATTTGGCCATGAAGCATTAAACTGCCTGTTCTTGTACATTTCATGTATTATGGCTTTCCACTTTGCTTTTCATGTATGGTACTCTGATAATGTTCCTTCCTACAACTGATTCAGTACAGCATCTTTGAAAAAGAGCTGTATAACTGCATGTTCCCTGGATTCATTACATCCTGCACAAATAACTGAATCACCGGCCATCACAGAAGATAATGTTACTGACACCAAGTTTCCAACTTACCACTACCACACAACGCGTACGGGGTGAACGCCTACAATATATTATTTATGTCACTAGCCTACGATACCAGCAGCAGCCCAGACACAACTGCCCAGCCACACAACTGGTGGCTAAACGAGTCAATGGGCTGACTTGACCATGATGAATAGGAAGAGACTGGAACAGTGAGAAAGTTGCATTTGGGAACTTGGAATCAGATGAGCATGCATATTAGCACCCCCACACTTGTTATCTACACAAGCCCTACTCGCATTGCTCTTATGGCACAAGCTGTTTTGCTTTCACCTTTCGCGCTTCACTCTTCCTGCTTGCTCCCGACGCTCCTGCATGTGAATGTGGTTTCTTCACATGGACGGTCTTCTCTTGCTGCTGCTGCTGCTGCTGCTGCTGCTGCTTCTGCTGCTGCTGTTGCTTTTCCTCACTCAACTCCTGCTCCTGCACCAGTGGCTGCTGCTGCTCCTGTTTCTGCTGCGGCTTCTGCTGCTTCTGCTTATGCTCTTGCTGCAGATGTTTCTGCTTCTTCTCCTTCTCCTGAGGTTTTTGTTTTGGTTCCTGGAGCTGCTGATTTTTCTGTTCCTGTAACCTCTCCTTCCGCTGCTCTTTCTGCTGCTGCGGCTGCAATATCTGCTGCTCCTTCTGCTGTTGCTCCTTCTGCCGCTGCTCTTTCTCCTGCTGCTCCTTCTCCCTCTGCTCCTTCTCCCTCTGCTCCTTCTCCCTCTGCTCCTTCTCCCTCAGCTCTTTATCCCTCTGCTCCTTACCCCTCTGCTCCTTATCCCTCTGCTCCTTATCCCTCTGATCCCTTTCCCGCTGCTCCTTCTCCCTTTGCTCCTTTTCCCGCTGTTCCTTCTCCCGCTGCTCCTTCTGCCGGTTCTCCTCCTCATCATCCGCAAATAAATCCTTGATTCCCGACCAATCGTGCGCCCCTCGCCGCTCCCAGTACCCTCCCACGTATGTCCACGTGCTCCCCGGCCCCCCTTGCTGCTGGAACCACCGCGGGTGCCACCCTGGCTCGCCTGCTTTCAGGGCCTGCAAGGAAGAACACGAGCACGGATTTTGAGAGGTGGTTGGGGTGGGGGGAGGGGGATGGGTGTGGAAGAGGAAAAAAATGCAGGAGGTGTTGAGTTATTGCGCCGCTTCTGCTCCAGCCTAGACTTCTCTTGAGTCGCCAGGTCATACGATACCTCTGTTCCACACTGCATTCCCACACCACCTGCACCCCTCTCTACACGCCTCCAAGCACAGGCGCACCCCAGGGCTTGCTTAGCGCCTAAACACAACACAAGCACATCCAAAAGCGAAATCCCTCCTCTCACCTTGCGCTGCTTCTGCTCCAGCCGTGACTTCTCCTGAATCGCCCGATCGTAGTACCCCTCTCCTCCACACTGCATTCCCGCACAAACTGCACCCCTCTCTACATGCCTCAAAGCGCAGGCACATCCCAGGGCTTGCTATGAGCCTAAACACCACACCAGCACAGCCAACACCCAACCCCCTCCCCTCCTTGTCAGCTTGCACTGCTTCTGCTCCAGCCGTGACTTTTCCTGAATCGCCCAGTTATGATATCATCCTCGACCGTTCTGCATTCCCGCACCCGCTGCAACCCTCTCTACACGCCTCCAAGCACAGGCGCACCCCAGGGCATGCTATGCGCCTAAACACAACACAAGCACATCTATCACCGAACTCCCCACCTCCCTCTCACCTTGCGCTGCTTCTGCTCCAGGCGTGACTTCTCCTGAATCGCCCGGTCGTAGTACCCCTCCTCCAACGCCCGCTGGTCCTCCCGCAGACGAGAATCCGTCGGGGGAAGGTGCTCCTGGGATGGGGTACGAAGGAAAGGAAGAAATCCAAAGTTGAGGCGCCGCGTAAAAACATCTCTCTCCTCTGTCCCTTGCACATCTGCCCCCAGGCGAGATTCAGAAGGAGGGAGGTGCTCCTGGGAAGGGGAAGGAAAGCACGACGTGAGCAAGAGAGAAAGGGTCAAAACACGGGAGGGGAGAAATAGTGATGGTGAAACTGTAGACCACACCTAAGAACCTAAAAGGTTACTCACCTTGAGCACCGGAGAGATTTCGTTGTGAGAGATGCAGAAGGGCGAGGGAAGGGGCGCACTTTTGGTACCCCATGACTAGACTCAGTCATCAGTTCGCAAAACTTTGAACGACTTTCCACAGGAAATCATTTTCTTACCTTGAGTCCTGGCGTCATCTCATTGAGAGAGATGCAGAAGGGAGTGAACTTGTACTTGCAGGGGAAGGGCGAGGGGGCGCACTTCTGCCACAGCAGCTGTGCCGTGGCCAGCACCTCACTCTCCTCCTTCTGAGACTTGCTGCTCAGCTCCCCCGGCACAAAGTGCAGGAACTGGTCCCACCGCCCGACAAGAGTCGCCTTCTCCTCCCCGTCGTCGCTCTGCACGATGCCTCGGACCTGCATTGTGAACACGCGGATGGCAGCAGGGAGGAGAGGAGGAGATGGAAAGGGAAGTGGGAGCAGGTGAGAGGGAAAGGGAGGAGAGTGTTGGGGTCCGTGGCCAGCACCTCGCTCTCCTCCTTCTGTGACTTGCTGCTCAGCTCCCCCGGCACAAAGTGCCGAAACTGGTCCCACCTCCCCACCAGGGTGGCTTTTTCCTCCCCATCGTCACTCTGCACGATGCCCCTGACCTGGAGTGTGAGAACAGATAAGAGGCAGGGAGGGGGGGTTGTGAGCGTTGCAGCTGAGCCGTGGCCAGCACCTCGCTCTCCTCCTTCTGTGACTTGCTGCTCAGCTCCCCCGGCACAAAGCACTCCCACTCATACACACCTGATGTGGATTCCAGTCGCGCGCGCGTGCGCACGCACACACACACACACACACACACACACACACACACACACACACACACACACACGCACGCACACACCTACCGTCAGAGACCAACTAACACAACTGGCCCACAACACCACCCGCACACACGCACCTGATTGGGGTTCCGGTCGAAAGTCGACCGTTCTTTGAACCGCAGGCTCGAAGAGAAACCCTGGATCCTTATCTGGCTTCCCGAGAACCAGATTTTGAATGTAGTTGGTTACATTATTCCACTCAAAGATTAGTTTTGAGACGTCTCAAAACAAGTTGGTTACATTATTCCACTCAAAGATACCTTGCCTAGTGAAACCCACACACCCGCACACACCTACCGTCAGACACCAACTAACACAACTGGCCCACAACACCACCCGCACACACGCACCTGATGGGGGTTCCGGTCGAAAGTCGACCGCTCTTTGAACCGCAGCCGTGCCGAGAACCCTCGGTTCCCCCGAATCCGCATTGTGCCATAATGGTCCACAAACGGCTTTCCGAGAATCAGATTTTGGATAGAAACCGTCACGTTGCTCCACTCGAACACCTCCCCGTCGTCGAAGGCGACAGAGAGCACACCGACGGGGTCGAGCTGCACGGACGGCCCCCAGAAGCGCACCTTGAGGCACGCGTCCCCCCAGCTGCGCCACCCCGTGCCCTCACAGTTCCACGCGAGGGTGGGCGGGTAGTGCAGCACCTGGGGGTGGTGCGGGCAGGAGCGGGGACGAAGGGGAAGGAGAGGGCAAGGACCTAATCACGAGTGGGAGCGGTTGCGTTCTGGATGGGGACGGTGGCATTGCTCCACTGGAAGACCTCCCCATCGTCCAATGGGCGCGGCTGGGTCTCAGTTTCTATGTCTCCAGAATGTGTTGGCTGCCTACCGATGAGCTGTAACAGAACAACTCTGCCATGCTAGATGTAATAGCCCCACTTGAGAATGTACCAAAGCAACTTGGAGATGCAAAGAGCTGCAGTGAACACAATCGATGATGTAACGAAATAGCTCACTGCTTCTGAGACGCATCGGAAGCAGTTTACAGGGTAGCTACTCCGAGACGTCACCTCAAACGTCTTCCCAGAGCAGCCGTTAAATGGCTTTTGCATGCTTGCATAGCTAAAGCTTCCTTGTATCTGGGGTGTCGTGGGGCCTCTGAGATGAAACGGAACAATAGCGAGATGCAACAGAAACTCACCACCTCGGAGACGTATCGGAAGCCCTTGTTGGGGCAATCGGCCTCAAAAGTCTCTCCCAGCAGCGGGTTGGGGGGCTTGTGCACGCTTCCGTAGCTACTCCTTCCTTGTCCCTGGGGTGTCATGGTGTGCCTCTGAGTTGGTGACACAACTACGAAATGAAATGGGTCAACTCACCGCCTCGGAGACGTATCGGAAGCCCTTGTCAGGGCAGTCCGCCTCAAACGTCTCTCCCAGCAGCGGGTTGAAGGGCTTGTGCATGCGACCAGCGTTCCCCGAGTACCGCGACACTGCAAACGCTGCCACGTGCACTGCTCTCATTAGCTTGTTGCCCTGGTGGTGGATCGAGAGGGGGGATAGAGTGTGGAGTGGGCATGTTGTGTGTGAATATCGACGACCAAGAGACTGCGAACACTGCCTCGTGCACTGCTCTCGTTGGCTTGTTGTCCTGCTCGTCCAACAAGGAGAATAGAGTAGTACTTTCCTGCTGCATTAATGGAATCTCAGGCCAAGCAAGCAGCAAGCCAGCTATGCACTCACCCGGCGGCCGTACTCTGCTGCGCGGTCGAGCAGCCAGCTGTACTCGTACGTCTCGCAGTACTTCTGGTTGGTGCTGATGGGCTCGTTGAAGCTCACAGGCACATTCGCTGCAAGGACCCCACTCAGATCCTACCGTTTCCCTTGCAGTCTATCCACCACTCACCCGGCGGCCATACTCAGCTGCCCGGTCGAGCAGCCAGCTGTACTCGTACGTCTCGCAATACTTCTGGTTGGTGCTGATGGGCTCGTTGAAGCTCACGGGAAGCGACACCTTGAAGAGGTCCTTGCCCACCAGGTCCTTGAGAATCGACCAGATGCTGACCGGCTTTTCCTCTTCTGCTGGTGGGGGCAGGCGATCCCTTCGAGGTATCTTGGGGTACGTGAATCCCACCTGGTAAGGGGTTGGAGATTGGGTGGTTGGTGGGTTGCGGGGGGGAAGAAACGAAGAAAAAAAGCAGAGACACCTTGAACAGGTCCTAGCCCGCCAGGTCCTTGAGAATCAACCAGAGGCTGACGCTGACCGTCATCACACACTTTCCAAGCTGACAAAGCCGTTAATGGCTTCACCCTGCCTGGAATTGCAGAGTATCTCATGCGCTACCAGTCCATATCCTCCCACAGTTCCTTTCGGCATATGTGCAGCAAACCAAACGAGCCCATAGCACATCGCAAAATACTCGCACGTTCAATACCACCAACACACTCCCTGAGTCGACTCAGAGAATACATTACAGACCCATGACATGAGCCCCAGCCCATCCCACTCCCACATACCTCCTGAACATCCAGCACAGTCAGCACATTCCCAGAGCTGACTCATAAAAAAACAAGGCCCAGTCCATCCAGCTCCCACGTACCTCTTGTATGTCAAGCACCGTCAGCACACTCCCGGAGCTGACGAAATCATCCATGGCTTCGAAAAACTCGTCATCCTGCCCGCCGCTGCTGCCCGACCCTCCCTCATCCTCGTCATTGTCCCGAGCCAACACGTCAGCCTTGGCAGCGCGCCGAGCCTTGCTCCGAGCCCTCCCGGACCTGCGGCCGCTGTTACCAATCTGCCTCGACCTGAGGTCGCTCCCAGTGCGCTTCAACAGCCCGTGACCTGAAATAGTAACCGCACTGCTGTCAACCTCTTGATCACCCCCACCGTCCTCCTCCTCCCCTTCCGCCTCCTCTTCGTCATCCTCTTCGTCGTCCTCCTCCTCCTCGTCCTCATCAAAGGTCGTGCTGGCATCATCGCCATCGCCAGCTGTGCAGGTGGGGTGACATTGGGGAGGAAAAGAAGGAGTCGAGGAACAAGGGGTGAATGAGAGGTGGAAACGGATAAATAAAAAAGAGATAGGAAAGGGAGATGGAAGAAATAAACATTCAAAAGGTGAGAAGAAATAGGACGGAAGTATCGCCGAAAACCATGTTTAGTCACATCTACCGAGTTAGAGGATGAGAGACTGAGTGAGGGATTAGAGTCTTGTAGGCGTACTCATGACAACGCTGGTGCCTGCGTAGCCCTGATTCCTCGTCTCCTCCAGCATGGCCGTTTCCAACTCAACCTTATCCGCTTCAAGCTGCCTCAGTAACCGCAAAAGCTGCAACCGCCGCTTCTGCTCCTCCCGCAGTTTATTCTCCAGCCTGAACACCACTTGTCGCCTCACTATCTCCTCGCACTTAGCGATCTCCTCCACACCCACACTTATACTCGCTAAGTACGCTCTTAGCGGCTCCATGGCCAGCGACGACGCGGCTACCAGCCTGGAATCATTAATCGAAGGAGCTTGTGCCGAGGCGCGAATCAACTGAAGGTGCTTCATTTTCGCGGCTTGAAGCGCGTCCATCCATAGTAACCTCCCGGCTTTAGATTCCGTCCTTAATCCGAGCGTCTTCGTCCCGAAAACGTAGAACTTTCTACCGTCAGTCGTGCTGGCTCGGAGCGTCGAAACCTCCAATCGGACGCTGCCATGTGGCATGCGATCGCAAAGCTCGCCTTCGTTAGGCACGACCCCATCTTCGCGCTCCTTCTTCACGAAATGGCGAATCTCATCACCGATCAGTCGGGCTCGAGGGCGACGCTCAAGCTCCTGTAACACGGTTACCCGATCAGGGCCCTCTAGTTTGAAGTAAGACAGCAGGCCCTGGTGGGAGACAAGGCGGGATGCAGAGTGATATACAAAATTATTATATGCTACTGAACAGAGAAAGTTATGTCTCGCGTAGATATATATTAGTGACTCGAGATGCGTTTGGACCTAGGAAATCGGTCTTGGTGGACTGGAATTCAGAATTTCCTTGAAAGGAACCCATTGTTGGAAATGCAAGGGATTATCCAGGACCCGCCTTGGTATTACCGTATGATGACACTGAGGTTCATTTGGGTGCGACCTTCGTATCTCGCATACTTACACCGGAGTTCTTTGGTTCTCACCTTGGATTTGCCCCCGGATGGCACTGGGAATCATCCGGATCCCACCTTGGAATTGCCGAACCATAACACAGGGAAATATCTAGGTCCCAGGCTGCCACTCTTTGAACTTCCTCGAAAATGCTTCGACATTTTCGAGAAAACAAAATATTGCGACGGGGCCCCGTCCGATGTGGTCAATAAACAGGAGTACTGCCGGGAAACAACCAGTTTTGAGAGTTCTCACATCGCGTACTTACCCCTTCCAGAACGAACAGCCGCATGCCCCAGCCTCGTCCCAGGTTCACCCACTTCCACAGAATGCCCATCACCACTTCCGCGCTCTCTTCCCCCACCGCCGCTGCCACTGCCGCCGCTTCCTCCGCCCTCCTCCCCGCCATCAGCTCCCCCCAGTTCCCCCCGCTTCCGCCGCGCGCACGCGCAGGCACGAGTGCAAGCGACTGCGCGCTGATCCCCGCCGACGATGACGCTGCGCCTACCGCGTCTGCGGCAGGTGTCATGGTCGTCACGCAAGCATCCAGCTCAGCAAGCAAATCGCGCGCTTCTTTGCTGTTGGAGCGGGACACGGATCCTCTCCCGTCGCTCCCGAAAATCCCGAGGCCTTTCCCGTCGCTACTTTTCCGCCGCTCGCGGCTCGGGCTCGGCCTGCTGCGGCGCGGGCTGAACCTTCCTCGTGTGCAGGATGGAGCGATCGCGTAGTTACCGCCGCTCGCGGAGGATTCGCTCTCTTCCGGCTCAAGCATGTTAACGTCATAAACGGCTGCTGACGCAAAGTTCTCTTTGTTCCGTCTGCGGAACGGGTTCGGAACTATGCTGGACAGACGGAAACCTGACGGAGAAGATGCTTCGCCGGGAGAGGGTGATGGAGGGCGGACAATCTCCCCGCTTTCTCCGCCGCTCCTCCTGGCTCCGTTAACGCTGCTTCCTCGCGCAAACAGCTCATTGGCTGACGGGGATGACGTGGCAGCAGCAATCGCGGCAGTTGCCGACCGGCCAGCAGCGAGAATCGCGCTGGACGGCGCCAACCGATCCCCGCCGCTGCCGCCGCTGCCTATGCTACTGCGAAAGCTCCGTGACGGCCGGTGCCAGCTACTCGGCGTGGGAGCCTTCGCATTAGGCGACAGCGGATTTTCCGCCGGAGATTGCGGGCGCGGACCAGGAACAGAATCCTGCCACGTCATGGATTTCTGAATCACATGCGGCTGCACATTGCACAGAGCCGGGACTTGTGCACCGGGCGAGCGAAGAGCCGCTGTTCCCAGAAAATCGGAGGACTTGGCGTTGGCTATGTGCCGGCGAGCGAGATTAGGGCTAGGTAGGCGGTTGGGACTGGGAAGACGGCGAGGACTCGGCAGACGTCGAGGCTGGTCCGCGTCAGGGGGGCGAGGATCTTGTTTACGAGTCGTCGCCATTGTTTTCGTTTGCTAAGGCGGTTGCAGTTGGCGTCTGCTACTCGGTTGCAGTTAGCGTCTGCTACTCGGTTGCAGTTAGCGTCTGCTACTCGGTTGCAGTTAGCGTCTGCTACTCGGTTGCAGTTAGCGTCTGCTACTCGGTTGCAGTTAGCGTCTGCTACTCGGATGCGAAGCTTTGCTTTAAACTGGTCGTTAGCTAACCGTACACGACGCTAGCTTCTTACTCACGTTGGAAGCTCATGAAATCCCCCGTCGAAACTCCCCTAAACACGGCATCGTTACTGGTTCACTCTTGAAAAACGACACCACGGTTCTAATGACTTAATTATCATGCACGCCAGGAGCTTCCTCTCTACTAAAAGGTCAAATCCGTCTCCTTTTCTTTGCTCGATTGCCACAATTGAATACAGACGCCACGGGCCGATGCTCGAATTGTTCCGCGATCCTAGCTGACTAGGCCCGATGTGGTCGCTAGCTCCTAGACAGGAAACTGCGCGAAAGGTACTGTGTCGCATCACACGGAGAAGGCTAAACCGCAGCAGCTAAGGTTGCTGCTGGGATAGGTGGTTGAGCTTCGATGAGCTTCGATGGTAAATGGGGTGATGAGAGGACGGGGGATGGACAAACATGAAGGAGAGTCTTTGAGGCGCGCGGTACAGTAATGGGTGCCGCTAGGATGGCGCGATGGGTGGGGAGTATAACGGAGTTGTTGCAAACTGATGGCAAAGGTCTGTAGTTCTCTGCAAACGGACGGAGGGTGGAAACACTGCTAAGATCTCGGTTTCTGCGTGTTGTGCGGACTGATTGGAGATGTTGCGCTGCTGACGGTAGCAGTAATTGACGGAAACTTCCGTCGCTGTGGCTGGCAGGTAACACGGGAGGGGGTTTTCTGACTTGGACTGCTTCAAGCACGCTTTTCGCCTGGTTATGGGGGAGCGCTAACTCGCCTGTGGGATGTGTGGGGGGAGTAAGGTCTGGTCTGGAGGGACTTGAAAGTTGGGTCGGGATTTCGAAATGAAAAATGCTGAAGAAAGCTGGAAGGAACGGCACAAATTTCGACATCAGTGATGGGTGAGACAGTCTCTGATCGGAGAGACGGGGAGGAGAGATAGGCGATAGGTGTGCGTGTGGCATAACAAAAGTTGGGCAGGGCAGGAGCAGGATGGAGCCGCGTGTTTCTCAACGGACGAACGAGCCGCATCTTTGTCTGGCGCAAACGGCAATTTTCATGCCGTGCAGCGATTGGTCAATGGGATTTTTGGATGCTCAAGGTCGCAAGGTGCCTCGGCGGCGCCTCTTGCGGTTCGAAAAATCGTGCGCGGGAAAGTGCATGGATTGGTTTTGCGCTTGAACCACTGTCATATAACACACTGTAGCTCCACCATCAAGCCTGTGTGAACTGCCAGGACCCAGTCCCCAAGAGAAGTGCTGGAGGTTTGGTGATCGAATTTGTACCGAATATGTAGAAGTGCTTGGAAAACATTCACAACACTGGAAACCAGTTTACTTACACATGAAATTATGCCAATACTAAACAAAAAAACAAAAACAAAAGTGCCCACCTGTCGACTTCTCAGGAGACTTGAAAACAACATCCAAACATAAATGAGGCATGAAATGCAGTTATTTTTGTTGAGATACATTACTCAAAATGTTGTAACATTGTGCCAGAGCAGGAGCACCCTTGCAATATGCATCTAACATTTTGGTGTAGATAATCGAATCTGCAAGGTCCGGCACTTCTGATCGTTCTATAAGAGTGTCTACCTGCACACAAACAACCCAACCCTGTAACTTCTGGGGCAAGAAATATGCAAAATCTTCCCTCACTAAATCAAAAAGGGAATGCTGCAATTTGTTTTTACCGTGCAAAGGAGCCAAGGTAAAGAACCACCCCAAACCTTGAGCAGCGAGAATGGCAGCACCTTTCACCCCAACTTCCTGAAATAAACAGAGCAGTGCGGAAAATACATTCACAACGGACAACGAGCGGGACTCAAGTTGTAGCAACAAACAAAGCACTGCATGTGGTGCCTTGTATGGGACCACCACATGCCTTGCACAACACGCACAGCACACACCAGTTTGGTTCAACCCCGACACACCATGTAATATATAGTCATCTCAAACGTCCTCACAAGATATGAGACACCTTGAAAGTGCTAGGCAGTTTTGAGGTGCCGTGAGAACCACATTACTGGAATGAGATAAATCCACCTGAGAATCAGCGAGGCAGTCGATTGGCCGGTTGAATACAGATGCCATGATGCGGACCCAAGTTGACGAGCTGGGGAGAGAGTGGTGGAAGGGGGGGAGAGGGGGGAGAACGGCGGAGGGGTAGGAAATTTTCAAGTTGACTAATAAATCACCTCCTGTTGAACACGGATGCCATGATGCGAACCCAAGCTGAAAAGCTGGGGAGAGAGTGGAGGAGGGGTGAGGGAGGTTGGGCGGGAAAGGGGGAGAGTGGGAGTGGAGGGTGGGGGGGAGCGTAGGGTGGAGGGTAGAAGATGCATATTTTTAAATGAAAAAATAACAAAAAATCACCTCCGGTTGAACAAGGATACTATGATGCGAACCCAAGTTGACGAGCTGGAGAGAGAGAGTAGGGTGGGGGGAGGGAAGGGGGGACGGGTAGAAAATGTAGATTTTGACGTGAAGTTTCAGCAAAAAATATCACCTCTGGTTGAACACAGGATGCTTCTGAGTTAACTCAAAGTTGAACACAGAATGCCATAAACCAAGCTGACGAGCTAGAGGGAGTGGGGGAGGAGGCAGTGAAAAGTGCAGAGGGTTGAGGTAGACGAGAGGAGACAAGCCAAAAAAAAATAAAGTCACAGCAAGGATGAGAGGAGACACAGACACATGAAAAGTTGGAGAAGGTAACGAGACAATTCTAATGCTTCTAGATGTTTAGTGAAAGGTAGGCATAAATTATCATTGAAAAGGTAAGAATAAAAGTAATAATAAAAAAAAAAACAAAAGTGAATGGCATCTGGATAGTGCAAAGAAAGAAAAGAAGAAAGGACAAACGATTGCAATTTATGGAGTGGTTACATGATGATGAGAATAAGAGATGGTAACAACCTTGCATGGACATGCCGAGCGACACCACCAACAATGCACAGAGCAGAAGGTTTGCTGCTTCTGACTTTTGAGGTGCCTAAAAAGACTTTTGTGGCGCCTAAAAGGAATTTTGTGGCGCCTAAAAGAATTTTGTGGCGCCTAAAAGAATTTTGTGGCGCCTAAAAAGACTTTTGTGGCGACTAAAAAGAATTTTGTGGCGCCTAAAAAGGCTTTTGTGGTGCCTAAAAAGACTTTTGTTCCGCCTCAAAAGAAGGAACTGGGACAGCATTGCGTGGACATAACATACCGAGCGCCACCACCAACAATGCGCAGAGCAGAGGGCTTGCTGCTTCCACTGCCACCACTGTGTGCTTGCATGGCGGTGTGGGCTGAGAGCAGTGCATATGCCACTCCCTCTTGGACCTGAGGGGATGAGTGATGGAGGGGAAGGGATTAAACGGAAATGCAGGGATGGGGAATGGCAGGTGTGCTTGGCGGTGTGGGCAGAGAGCAGAGGGTTTACCACTCCCTCTTAAACCTGAGGGGATGAGCGATGGAGGGATGGCAGCAGGAGATGCAGGGATGAGCAATGGCGATGTGGGACGTGGGCTGACAGCAGTGCATATGCCATTCCCAATTGGACCAGAGGGGATGAGCAATGGCGATGTGGGACGTGGGCTGACAGCAGTGCATATGCCATTCCCAATTGGACCAGAGGGGATGAGCAATGGCGATGTGGGACGTGGGCTGACAGCAGTGCATATGCCATTCCCAATTGGACCAGAGGGGATGAGCAATGGCGATGTGGGACGTGGGCTGACAGCAGTGCATATGCCATTCCCAATTGGACCAGAGGGGATGAGCAATGGCGATGTGGGACGTGGGCTGACAGCAGTGCATATGCCATTCCCAATTGGACCAGAGGGGATGAGCAATGGCGATGTGGGACGTGGGCTGACAGCAGTGCATATGCCATTCCCAATTGGACCAGAGGGGATGAGCAATGACGATGTGGGACGTGGGCTGACAGCAGTGCATATGCCATTCCCAATTGGACCAGAGGGGATGAGCAATGGCGATGTGGGACGTGGGCTGACAGCAGTGCATATGCCATTCCCAATTGGACCAGAGGGGATGAGCAATGGCGATGTGGGACGTGGGCTGACAGCAGTGCATGTGCCATTCCCAATTGGACCAGAGGGGATGAGCAATGGCGATGTGGGACGTGGGCTGACAGCAGTGCATATGCCATTCCCAATTGGACCAGAGGGGATGAGCAATGGCGATGTGGGACGTGGGCTGACAGCAGTGCATATGCCATTCCCAATTGGACCAGAGGGGATGAGCAATGGCGATGTGGGACGTGGGCTGACAGCAGTGCATATGCCATTCCCAATTGGACCAGAGGGGATGAGCAATGACGATGTGGGACGTGGGCTGACAGCAGTGCATATGCCATTCCCAATTGGACCAGAGGGGATGAGCAATGGCGATGTGGGACGTGGGCTGACAGCAGTGCATATGCCATTCCCAATTGGACCAGAGGGGATGAGCAATGGCGATGTGGGACGTGGGCTGACAGCAGTGCATATGCCATTCCCAATTGGACCAGAGGGGATGAGCAATGGCGATGTGGGACGTGGGCTGACAGCAGTGCATATGCCATTCCCAATTGGACCAGAGGGGATGAGCAATGGCGATGTGGGACGTGGGCTGACAGCAGTGCATATGCCATTCCCAATTGGACCAGAGGGGATGAGCAATGGCGATGTGGGACGTGGGCTGACAGCAGTGCATATGCCATTCCCAATTGGACCAGAGGGGATGAGCAATGGCGATGTGGGACGTGGGCTGACAGCAGTGCATATGCCATTCCCAATTGGACCAGAGGGGATGAGCAATGGCGATGTGGGACGTGGGCTGACAGCAGTGCATATGCCATTCCCAATTGGACCAGAGGGGATGAGCAATGGCGATGTGGGACGTGGGCTGACAGCAGTGCATATGCCATTCCCAATTGGACCAGAGGGGATGAGCAATGGCGATGTGGGACGTGGGCTGACAGCAGTGCATATGCCATTCCCAATTGGACCAGAGGGGATGAGCAATGGCGATGTGGGACGTGGGCTGACAGCAGTGCATATGCCATTCCCAATTGGACCAGAGGGGATGAGCAATGGCGATGTGGGACGTGGGCTGACAGCAGTGCATATGCCATTCCCAATTGGACCAGAGGGGATGAGCAATGGCGATGTGGGACGTGGGCTGACAGCAGTGCATATGCCATTCCCAATTGGACCAGAGGGGATGAGCAATGGCGATGTGGGACGTGGGCTGACAGCAGTGCATATGCCATTCCCAATTGGACCAGAGGGGATGAGCAATGGCGATGTGGGACGTGGGCTGACAGCAGTGCATATGCCATTCCCAATTGGACCAGAGGGGATGAGCAATGGCGATGTGGGACGTGGGCTGACAGCAGTGCATATGCCATTCCCAATTGGACCAGAGGGGATGAGCAATGGCGATGTGGGACGTGGGCTGACAGCAGTGCATATGCCATTCCCAATTGGACCAGAGGGGATGAGCAATGGCGATGTGGGACGTGGGCTGACAGCAGTGCATATGCCATTCCCAACTGGACCAGAGGGGATGAGCAATGGCGATGTGGGACGTGGGCTGACAGCAGTGCATATGCCATTCCCAATTGGACCAGAGGGGATGAGCAATGGCGATGTGGGACGTGGGCTGACAGCAGTGCATATGCCATTCCCAATTGGACCAGAGGGGATGAGCGGGAGGGGATGGGTGTAGTGGAGGTGGAGGGATGAGCAGTGCACCATATAGACCAATAGGTGGGCCTATTATGTGCATACCATACCATGGGGCGTGCTATGCACATACCGCACGTATCATGTGTGCTTGAGTGGTAGAGGCAGATATGCCGATGAATGCCGCCTGCATGTTGGGGTCCTCAAATGGACACCGCTCGCCTGAAATTACAGCACGGCATGGCATGGCATGGCATAGCATGGCATGGCATAGCATGGCATGGCATGGCATGGCATGGCATGGCATCGCATGGCAAGGCATGGCATGGCATGGCATGGTATGGCATGGCATGGCATGGCATGGCATGGCATGGCATGGCATGGCATGGCATGGCATGGCATGGCATGGCATGGCATGGCATGGCATGGATTTGAATGGCATGGCACGAAATGGTATGGCATGGCACGGCACAGCATGGGAGGTGAGTGAACGTCCAAGAACAAATGACTGGGAACGCACGTTACACTATGAGGAAATTTCAAAACCTTTAAATTGGCAAATGGATGGGAGATGATTGAGCATTCAAATGGTATACTAGCACAGCAGCTCATGGCACACATGACTTGATTCATGCATTATAATACATAAAGATATTATTTTAGACCATTATGTGGCTTGAGATTAGACATGAGCACAAGGGCGAACACCTGTTCGGTTCGCCTCGAATTGCTTAAAGTGTTCGCCAAACAGTGTTCGAGGTTCGCCCGAACACGTTCGTGTTCGGGCCGCTGCTGCAATTTTCCCCGCGACGAACACGAACGTGTTCGAGGTTCGCCCGAACACGCCTTCACAGGCGAACGGCGAACACCTGTTTTTGTTTAAAGTGTTCGCCGAACCAAACAGTGTTCGATTCGGCAAACGGATGTGTTCGTGTAGGGGCGAACATGTGTTCGTGTAGGGGCGAACACGAACATGTTCATGTTCGCCCCTTGCTCATCCCTACTTGAGACACAGACGTGCCTTGCGACAAAAATGTATTCTCAAGTTACCGTTCAGGAATGGGAGGTAGAGAAGGCCACCACTGCCAGCTGGCACGGATGCTGCTGCCACGTCAGCGTTCTGGAAGGCAGATTCTGCCACGTCTGATTGGAAGGAATGTTTAAAAGGTGGTTGGGGAATGGGGTGGGACGATAGATCATTGTCAGGTGCATAATTGGCGTTGTGGGCGGAAGGGATGGCTTCTTACATGCAGTCACACATGCGCACGTGCACAGACAGACAAGCACAGCGCACATGCACATATGAACGCACGCACAAACAAACAAACTAGCACACACCATTGCCGCTGCTGCCCAGGAGCGTGTTGATAGCCCACTTGAGATTGCCCCCTGCTGTCATAATGGGTGCTGGTGGGGGGATGGAAACACACAGAGACGAAGGTGAGAAACACTTGTCAGGTGCCACCTCACAAAAGATGTGCACACCCACAGGAGAACTCACTCACCCCCAACACCAACACACTTCTGAAAAATCTCTTACCTTTACTTTCTTTTCAAGAGTTGTTTCTAGAGTAGCACACACATGCACTCACACTCCATACCCTCCCCACCCACCTTCGAGAACGAATTGAGCGGGCTTTGGTTTTTCACCCGCCTCAAAAAGTGTGCACCTGTTCTGAAGACCAGTGAGGGGTCGGGGTGAGCGAGAGTGAACACGCCCTGAGACCATGAGGGCGGTTGAACCGATGCAAGAGGCTGAGATGCCAGTGGTGGTGGATGTGTGGAAGGCTGGTTGGGTTGTTGGTTGGGTGGCTGTGTTGCTGGTTGTAAGGGTGGTGGCAGGGGAAAGGACCCAGCCACCCATCTGATGCGTTGATAGGGGTGTGGGAAGGCGAAAGTGTGGGGCGAGAGAGACGGGAGGGAGAGTGGGGAGGGAGAAAGAGGAGGGAGAAAGAGGAGGGAGAAAGAGGAGGGAGAAAGAGGAGGGAGAAAGAGGAGGGAGAAAGAGGAGGGAGAAAGAGGAGGGAGAAAGAGGAGGGAGAAAGAGGAGGGAGAAAGGGAGAGTGGGGAGGGAGAAAGAGGAGGGAGAAAGAGGAGGGAGAAAGAGGAGGGAGAAAGAGGAGGGAGAAAGGGAGAGTTCTGACGGCGCAAATGGGGATGGCAGTAGCAGGCTGGCCAGTGAGAGAGGATTAAAAGAGGCAAAACGGAAATGATCTGGATGACAGGACTTGGATGGCAAGATTGGGTCTGCAAATCTTGGATGACATGCCATATCAGATCTTTCAAGTATCAAGTTTATTAACTTTACAAGTCCATCATCTTCAAGGTATTTCGTCCCTGTCCGAGGACTTTGGACAGCTAACTGCTTTGGACATTCTGCATTCGTCAGACCAAAAACACCTCAGCCACCTACCTGAATCTTTTTAACATTTCATCACATTGACGATATGACTCCTTTATCCTGCTATTTTCCCTTCAAATATAGGAGATCAAGGTTACAAGAGGGCACGGAGGATGAATTGAAAGAGCTTGAATGCTAGAGAGAATTTCGAAGATTGCTGTAGCACTCGAGTTCTGTCGATACTTTTTTCTTGAACAATGAGAGACGGAAGAAGGACGCCAAGAGGTGGGTGATAGACATGTGATCCAAAAACAACTCACGAGGATGGTGTCGAACATCGTCCATGCTCTTTGGTAACCATGAGCAACCTTCAATTTTTCATTGCTAGAGGAAAAAAAGCAGGTTAAACAAGTCGGATCTTGCGATTTGATCAAATGTCTGAAAGACTCAGGCAGATGGCCGTGGTGTATTAGATATGACAAATGCAAAATTTCCACAGCAGTCAGGTCCTCGAACAGGGACGAAAGACCTTGAAGATAATTAGCTTTAGTTTCCAACTATATATTTTAAAGCTTTGACAGCCAAGGACTTGGATCGCAAAAAGAGGACTCAAGACTTCAAATGGATACTAAAAAGATGGACGCAAGCCTTCACCAGCAGCTAGCCCCAAAACATCCCCTCCCCCTCTCCTCCGAGGTGCCAAGGTAGATGTGGTTTTGCTGTTGCTTGAACTCTTCTGCTACGCCCCAAAGCAGCAGCTAACCCCCCTTCCTGAGTGCCATGATAGATGTAGTTTTGTTGCTGTGTGAACTCTCAATAAGTGAGAAATCACCTTGAAGACTGTTTTACTGTGAGCGACGCCTCTCACCCTGAGGTGCCGAGATAGATGTACTCCGTGCCAGGTAGACCTGATCCACACCTGTTGGGTTAGGGATTGGAAGGGGGAATGGGAGAGGGCGGAAAGGGGAAAGTGGGAAAAGATGTGAGGTGTGGCGGTCAACTCAATAAACTCTGCGAAATTAAGATGCGAACTGATAAACAAAAAAAAACACCAATCACCAAAACATGATATACCCATAGATGCTAATTACCCCACAGCAGAAGCTCCCAGGTCTCCACACGAGTGAAATACAGGGATGCCTGCCAGGTGGCGTGCTCCCATTCGCTCCGCAGCTTCCACAGATAAGGTGCCTGTTAAAGCCAGGTCAGCAAAGGACTTCAAAATTTTGTCTTATACGGCTTCCGATATCTGAGGTGTCTTGAAAGGAGAGATTGAAGATCTGATGCAATATCGTTTCAACACTGGGTATTGATTATTTGATGCTCGCTCGAGGAATTGTTGAGTGACGACAACAGCACAAAAGTGAGCGGGAAACTGACCACTGGGGTGGGTAGCAAACTGACCGCATGGTTGGGTGGGTGGCAAGATCTCAGGGAGAAGAGGCAGCCAATGGGAGAGGCCCAGTGAGTGAAGCAGGTCAGAAGCATATGAGATGCCTGCAGGTGAGGGGAAGCGGGGAAAGGGGGAAGGGGTGGATTGGTGTGAAAGAGGGAGGGGTGGTAGAGCGAAGGAGAAGAGGCAGCCATTGGGAGAGGCCGAGCGAGTGAAGCAGGTCGGCAGCATATGAGATGCCTGCAGGAGAGAGGAAGAGGGGAGACAGCAGAAAATTATATTGTACTTTTGAGTCGACCGAAAATTAGTAGATAGCAGATACTAATGGCAAGAAAGGTACCGCTACTGCTGTTACAAACTGTGCAATGACACGTGGCAGCAGATCATTGGTTTTTGTGGCACGTGGCATGATACCAGAGGTGGATGGACACGTGGCAAGGCCTGTGGTGGAGAGCGTGGTGCAATCCACAACCCGGGCTGGCCGACCAATCAGATGGCTGCACACGTAGGCATGGCTGGGACGGCAGGGTTTGGGGGGGGGAGGGTGGGGAAGTAGGGTGGTGGTGGTGGTAGGAGAGAAAGAGAAGGGTGAGAAATGTAAAGCATCAAGGGAGATGCTTGAGTTCAAAGTATACATTGGATAATTTCAAAAGTACTGACACGGTTTCAGAGCACAGCACAACAGAGGTCAACAGAGGTCAACAGAGGTCAACAGAGGTCAACAGAGGAAATAATGCTCAGTATGGCCAAAACTCTGTCTCGAACTGAGCTTCACGCACGCGCCGAGAAGCAGCGAGGAAGCTTCCTTCAGTGCGTGTGGTCGGTGCCGCTGCAGCCAAAGGAGCTTCGCCAGCACGCTGAGGGGTACGGCACGGAGGGGTGGGGTGGAGGGAGGGTGGGGGGCGGGGAAGGGAGTAGCGGGGGACAGACGGAGCAAGATGAGCTGGCGGAATGGGCAAAGCGTGGATTGGGCTTTGAGTCTGGCAATAAGCCTGCTTGCTGCAGCTAAAGGAGCTTCGCCAGCACGCTGAGGAGTACAGCGGGGTGGGGGGGGGGAGAGGAAGGGAAGGCTTGGGAGGTGACCAAGGCGCATGTTTTCGGCATGCATGTATGCTCCAAGACATGCCACCCTGCATCTACTTGCATGCAGAATCAGGTGGCTTTTGAGTCGACTCATAAGTCACCTTGGGAGGTGACCAAGGCGCATGTTTTATGCATGCCTGCATGTATGCTCCAAGACATGCCATTGTACATCTGCATGCATACAGAATCATTCATGCCTCATGCCGGTCTCTGTGCATTGGTGTGTGTGCCGCCCACCTGGTGGCTTCTGTGCCGCATGTGCCGCCCACCTGGTGCCATGTATGCCGCCCACCTGGTGGGGCATTGTCTCATCCCGGTGGATGCAATGATTGCTTCCTCGCCTCCTGCCAGCATTGCCATCTGCATTCAATTGAGCACACACACATGCACACACACATGCACACACACATGCACACACCTCTCTGGTCGCACATCCGCAGTGGCACACGCATCAGAGTACGGAATGGCACGCGCATCAGAGTACGGAATGGCACGCGCATCAGAGTACGCCACCCTCCCCCCTCCAAAGTCCCCCCCATCCCGCATCCCCCCCAACCACTCATCCCCCTCACCCCCCTTCCTCACCTCTCTGGCCTCGGCAGTGGCACGCGCATCGCAATACAGAATGGCAGGGGGGACGGCAGTGCAGCTGGTAGCCGACCAATCCTGGAGGGACACGTGGACGCAATGGAGTGTGCAGTGCACGATGGGGGGTTGAAAAGGGGGTGGGGGGAGAGGGGAAGAAGGGGGTGGGGGGAGAGGGGAAGAAGGGGGTGGGGGGAGAGGGGAAGAAGGGGGTGGGGGGAGAGGGGAAGAAGGGGGTGGGGGGAGAGGGGGAGGGGGTGTTAATCTGAGGCTGGGAGGTAATAGTTGAGTAAGGTGACACCATAAGATAGTGGTATCCTGGGAAGGTGGTACTTGCGGAAGGTGGTACCTGGGGAAGGAGGATGACATCTTGCATCTGACCGGTCACCGCAACACCTACCACCCTCACCGCACTCAACCCGTCTCCACCCACTCCACCTCCCTCCCCTTCCCCACCCGCGCTGCTCCCCCCCTTCCGCCCATCCAGTTGCGCCAGGCACTCCCCAGCTGCGCCCGCCGCCGCTCTCCACCAATCAGACGGCTCCTGCTCCGCCGTCTGCCGCGCCTGCGCCACGTCATCATCCGCGCCACGTGGCGGAGCATGCGGCCAGAACGCAGAAGCCACGACAGCGCCATGCCACGTCACCACAGCCGCCTTGGTCCCGCCCGTGCCCACGTCTATCGCCAAAACCGCCTCCTCCGCTTCGCGTTTAAGAGCATCCCCTTTTAAAGACGTCGTCTCTAACTTAGTCCTGCTCCCTCCCGTTTCCGCGTCTGTCAAGCCTATCGTTCGAGCCACGTCCTCCTTCTCCCGCGTAGCTTCCCTGAACTCGCCGTTCGTGTGTGCCTCGGGCTTAAGAGACGCCACAACCTCTAAAGGAAATCGCCTGCTTCCCGTCTCGTCGTGCAGGGCGACCAATCCTGCTGTGACACGGTGGATATGGCCGGTTCTCGCGCTGTGGCTGTTCTCGCCATGGTTCCCGCCGTTGTTACCACCAGTACTGCTACCGCTACAAGCACGAGCACTGAATCTACTTCTTCCATATAAGCCCTTCTTACCAACGGCTTCCCCTGCTAATAGACTCCTGCGCAAAAATAACTTTCGCTCGACTCTTTCCGAGTCAACATGGTGAGAGCTGGTTGAATGGGACAGAGCGACGGCAGGAGGTGAGCATTTTCCCGGAGCAGCTATTAGCGCGTGCGGCAGCATTGACAGAGATTATTAGGCCCGAGTCGCGCAACTGGGACATTTGTGAATCTGAAAGCCCTAGATCCTAACGAATCCTCGTCAAAAGCCGATGCTAATCTTTTCTTGGATTTAATTGAAGTGTATATCATTGTTATGTGCTGTACAGAAAACTGAGTGAATTTAGCAAAAAACGAGTATGTGGTTACAACTCCTGTTATACAAATGAAATCAACGGCATTATATAAAGACGGTTTCTAGCTAGGCGGGGACCTTGAAATCGAGGTTTGGCACAAGGTTGGCCGCACAAAGTACAACAGTCAGGATGAAGATTTTGAAGTGACGACTTTGGGCCGAGCCTGTCGTTTCAGAAGTTGGGGTTGTACGCAGTGTAGTTTAAAACCAATAAGGATTCAGCTTGAATCCACCGTCTTCCCCCCCCCTCCCCCCCCCCCCCCCCCCTTCTGTTGGGCTGATAAAGCCCCTAGGATCTTTTTCAAGGCTAAGACTCTGAGTAGGAATATTGTAATTGCAAAACCGTATATTAATTTTGTCGAACCACCTTGCACTAGTGTGTGAGGGCAAGATGAATTGACTAAAGCAAAGAGATACAAGAATATATATGATTACAAGGAATACGAAGAGGTGCAATTAACTGTTTTTGCTGCTGCGGTTCGATACAATGACGATTCGGGTAACTGCTCAATACCGAGTCAGTTGTTTATCCTTGCTGTCGCGCTGTATTTCGTTGAGTCAAAGGTCGCTGACCTTTGACCTTCGCGTAACCTCCGGCTGTTACGTTTGTTGACTCGCGTGTTGCTTCACTATAGCCTGCTTCGTTCGTGTTATTACTTCGATACTTCAGAAGCGTTAAATTGCTTGTTTCCAACACTCCCCTTCGCTTCTGGAGTGTCGCTGCCGATGACGTGGCCTTGTCCAGTCAGCAGCATGCAATACTTGAACTTCTGCTTTCCGAGCTTCTTGGTCAAGTAATCGGCTGCCATCTCGGATGTGGGACAGTAGGATAACTCAAGTCTCCCCTTCTCGATTTCGTCTTTTACGAAGAAGTACCGGAGGGCGATGTGCTTCGTTCGATTCGCGAACCCGTTCTTGTTCGCTCTGCGAATGGCCGATTGGTTGTCGCAGAAAAGGGAGAAGCTGGGTAACTTTGCCAGCTTTGCTTCTTCCAGTAGTTCGCGAAGGTACAATCCTTCCTTGGTAGCTGAGCAGAGTGCGAAATATTTTGCTTCAGCTGAGGAGAGAGCAATTAGCTCTTGCTTGCTCGACTGCCATGAGATAGGGCCGATAACGTAGGTTCGAGTCGGTAGATGTAGCCGGTGCGCGATCGTCTGTTGTCTGGGTCGCCGGCGTGGTCAGCATCCACATAACCGATTAACTTGGGCGTCGTAGTTCCAGTCTTGTGGTAGGTTAGGCCGATCGTCGGGGTGCTGACGAGGTAGTGAAGTGCACGGTCGAGCTCCGCCATGTGATCTGCTTCAGGTTTCTTGAGATGGGTGGCGAGTTGATTAGCTGAGTAAGATAGATATGGTCGGCAGGTAATGGCTGCGAAGAGTAGACAGCCTAGCTTTCGTTGGTAGTCGCGAATGCTGGCGGGTTTGAGTAGGGCGGAGGCTTCCTTGCGATTTCCGTCGGTGTAACGATATGGCGTGGTGATGGTAGCTGGAGTTAGTCTGAAGCGTTTGGCGATGGTGTCAGAGTATTTTGCGGCGCTGAGGTAGATTGCGTTTTCCCCGTCTTGTATGTTGAGTCCTACGTATTGTGTCACGGTAGAAGAGACGGTGAGTATGAGGTCCCGCTATAGCTCCCCTTTGAACCAGGTCGTGACGTCGTCGGTAGAGCCGATGTAAAGCAGGTCGTCCACATAGACTATGAGTAAGATGTAGTCGGTACCCTTCGTGAGACGATACATCCTTTGGTCGTGTGTGTGAGAATAACAAACGAGAATGAATGAACTAGCAAACAGTTGGGTACAAGTACTAACCCTAATTGGGTTGTACCCCTTATGGGCTACCCCACTACAGCCTTTACAAATGTATAAGCTATAATGTTCTGACACACCCCCATAGACAAAGTGGGGGAGAACAAGTGGTCACAAGACCAGTCAAGAAAAGCAAAGCAAGCTCAGGGTGGATCACAAAGTCACCACACAGTCCGAGCACAAGCAGAGGGCCACAAGGCCAGTTCACATGCAGAGTTATATAAAGAGAACAAACAATACAGTGGTCATACCCTAGCAAATGCAAGCATGCAGGTATATATAGAGATCATAGTACAAGTAGGGTCAAGCAGTGAGCAAGTGAGGCAAAGTGGGCACAAGGCCTAACACAGTAGCAAAGCGCTGATGATCACCAGGCGGAAGTGCCTTGGTGAAGACATCAGCAGTGTTGGCCCGAGTGGACACGTACGCAAGACGAAGCTGTCCACGCTGCTGCAACTCTCGAGCAAGGAAGTATCGCAAAGCGATGTGCTTCGTTCTGTGCTCCAGTCTGTGCTCCAGACACAAGGCAATCATGGCCTTGTTGTCTACGTACAGGACTGGAGGTGAACGAGGCTGCTCTCCCAAGTCGCTCAGCAAGTAGGTGAGCCAGCGTAGCTCCTGTGCAGCCATGGCCCCGGCGTAGATCTCAGCCTCACAACTGGAGCTGAGAACCGAAGACGAGCGGGTAGACCGCCAAGAAACAGAGCCGGACCCAAGGCTGAAGGTGTAACCCTGTGACGACCGCTGCGTAGCTGAGTCGTCAACCCATGAGGCGTCTGCGTGACCAGTGAGGACAACTGGACCTCGTCCTCCAAGCACAAGCCCCATGCCCGACGTACTGCACAGGTAACGCAGTACCCTCTTTGCAGCATCCCAGTGCACCTCTCGGTGCCTACCGGGAGCCACGTAGCGAGCCAGAAGGCTGAGAGGGTACGCGAGGTCAGGTCGTGTGCACGTCATCAGGTACATGAGGCAACCCACAAGCTCTGGGTACGGACCACTCGGCTCTACGGACTCGTCCGAAGGTGGAGCTGAGAGTGAGTGGCTGGTAGACAGAGGAGTGAGCTGTGGCGAGGAGTAATGGAAGCCGAAGAGCTGAAGGACCTGGTGCACCATGTGTGACTGAGTCAGTGTGATGGTGCGTCGTGCTCTGTCCCGGGTGATCTGCAGGCCAAGATAGCTGCGTAGTTCACCCAGGTCAGTGCAGGTATGTCTCTTCTGCAGCTCGGACTTCACAAGGGTCAGTGCCTCAGTGTCAGCAGTGGCAAAGACGAGGTCGTCGACGTACACAAGGACGTAGAACGGCGGCAGCGAGGTGTCGGTGCGTAGAAACAGCGAAGGGTCTGCTGTAGAAAGAGCAAACCCAAGAGCCGCAAGTGTAGTCCTCAGTGTGTCGTGCCACTCGCGAGGCGCCTGGCAGAGACCGTAGACTGGCCGGCGGAGGCTCCACCGAGTACCTGCAGGAAAAGTCCCAGTGACACCAGGTGGTCGGCGCAGCCAGATCTCCTCGTGCAGGCTGCCCTGCAGGAAGGCTGTACTAAAGTCCAGGGAGTGCAACTCGTAGTCACGCTGAGCAGCGACGTGCAGCAACACCCGAAGAGTAGTCATCTTCGGGGTGGGGGAGAAGGTCTGGAAGTAGTCAACTCCCTGACGCTGGCTGAAGCCTCGAGCAACGTAACGCGCCTTGAAGGCAGGTGGAGAACCCGACAGCCGCTTCACCCTGAAAATCAACATGCCATCGACTATGTTCGCCCCAAGTGGGGGAACCTCGTCGACGTAGGTGCCTGTGGACTTCTAGGATGCCATCTCGGCATCCATAGCTGCCTGCCACTGAGAGGAGTAAGGACCCGTAATCGCCTCTTCGTAAGAGCGCGGGGTCGGGATGTCTTGAGCATCCGGGTCTCCCTCAGGGGCAAGCAGCATGGAAGCGAAACGAGGTACAGCAGCTGCAAGACACTCAAAGTCCTCCTGCCTGTCCTCAAGGACATCCGTGCCAAGAGCACACTCACCCCCGACGGACGGAGGACTGGCAGGCACAGACTCAGCAACTAGAGCAGAGGCGTAGTCGAGACGGCAGGTAGCAGCAAAGTCAAGCAGCTCAGCAACGAGAGCAGACGCAGCAGCAGACTCAAAAGAAGGGTGAGTGACAGCTGTGGCAAGGAGACGAGCGACAGTGGGACTGGCAGCACGCGCTTGGTCAGACTCAAGGTCAGGGACCTTAGGAAGAGAGGATTCAGGAGGAGCACGCAGAGGAATACGTAGTGGAACAGAGGAAGGACGGAGTGCCATAGTGTGCGTGCCGGGGACAGGAGGAGGACGCGAACGAGGAGCGCGACGAGCAGTGCGAACAGGCGAGACAGGATGAGACGCAGGCTCACGACGCTCTGTAAGACCTCCCGACTGCTCAGTGTAGGGAGAGGGAGCTGGCAGTGGGGAGGCTGGCTGTAACGGCGGCTGCAACTGGTCAGGCGGTGGACACAGGAAGGGAGGAGGAAGACCAGTAGACGGGACACCAAGAACCTGCTGAAGTAGGGGAACGAAGTACGGTCGCGGCCGCACAGTGCCTCGAGCACCTCCAGCTCCAGGGTCAACAGCTCCAGCTCCTGCATCTCCAGCGCCTCCGGCGCCAGTGCCTCCAACCCCAGCTCCTGCAGCCCCAACGCCTCCTGCACCAGGCTCCGTAGGGTCTCCAGCTCCAGCGCACCCAACACCACCAGTCCCGGCAGCTCCAGCACCAGCAGCCGCAACACCTCCAGTACCGCCAGCTCCAGCAGTAACAGCAGCACCTCCAGCTCCAATGTCTCCACTCCGACGGTGTGCGCGCCGAACAAGCCACTCACGCAGCTGCTCCGAGGACAGTCGCGGCGAAGCACCAGCAGGACCTCCAGATGAAGCAGCACCCCGAGGCTCAGCACCCCCGGACTCCGCACCCTCCGACTCAGCACCCCCAGGCTCAACACCCTCAGGCTCAGCACCCCCAGGCTCAGCACCCTCAGACTCAGCACCCCCAGACCCAGCATCCTCA